AGTGGGAGAACTTGCACAATTGGTGGCTGACTAAATACTTTTTTGCCCCACTGTATATGGTCCATGAATAAGTAGTACACAGAAATTGTTGACTATTAAAAGAAATTATGCACTATTATTCATTTGAGGCATGGGATTGGTGTATATACCTTCAAATTATGCTTTTCATTCATAAATATATTTTCCAGCATTTAGACTATAATGCTTAGTTAGGAAGAAAATTTGATTCCTTTGTGGATAGCATATTCAGCCACAGTGAGTCAAGTAAGGAACTGTGGTCACAGACCTTTCTGAGATGTGAATACACCAGAACTGAAAATCAGCCAGGCTATAGCCCATCCATCCTTTTATTGTTTTGTGACTGTTTAAATTAATTATCAAAGGTTGAGCATTTCTGCATAATACCATTCCAAAATGGGAACTGTAAACCTGGCTCCAAAATTAAGACCAATACACCAGCATGGTGATACCTTCACCAGCGTAAATTCTATTTAATTGTTTAATTTGGTTTTGGGAATGCTGTTTTCTTGTTCAACCCCAGAATGCTGTTAAAAAACATTCTTATAATCAGGAAAGGCTTTATATAAATTATATAAAGGCTAATAGAGGAAGTCCTAATTAAGCTTGCAAAATACTGAAGTTCTGCTATTGAAATGGACTCTAAGTATAGGCCTTTTAAATATATATTTTTTATTTGAATTGTCACCTTCAGCTTACACTTATGTAAAAATATTAAATTGTTTTCATGCAATTTGTCACTTGCCGCTCAACTGGGTAAGTAATGAATTGCACCACAGGAGGCATTGTTGATCCTGTCTCTCCATCTCTTTATAGGTACTTGTGAAATTCTTAGCACACTGGCTGCATTCTCACATTGCACTAAAGCATGGTTTGCTTAACCATAATTTCCTGAATAAAGTACAATGGCTTAGTTTACACACTAAGCTATCATCCATGATTTACCAATCACAATGTCTGGGTCATTCAACTCTTAAGCCAAAACAAAATAAAGAACATTATGGCGTAGCGCAATGTGTGAAACTAAATCACTACTTTTGCTCCTATCTTCATGGACCTTTAAAGCTGGAACTGTTAGTTTGAGCAATAAAAAGAACAATATAGTGTTACAGGGGACACAATGACGCATTTACTAGAGATCTAGGGAAAAGAACAGAAACAATATGCTGCATATATTCTGTATTTAAGAATTTGAATTACAGTATGCTCTTCAGAACAAACATTTGTGGAAGGCAGCTTACAAAATCTTTTAAGAACCAGTATCTAAAATATCTAAACTATAGATTATTAGCAGCACAAACCAAATCCTAAAAGCAACTAAAATATATTTTTCAACAATTAAAATAGCAGAAACTGAAATCAGTAACACTTAAATAGATCAACAGTATGTGCAGTTTATAGGAAGATAAAGCCTGCTCCTCTTTTAGCAAATACCCTGATCCTAAAGCATAAAAACAAGATTAATAATGAACACTCCTTCAAGCAAAATAAAACAATAACTCACCAGAACTAAGACTTTTATAGTACTGCTGATTGGTCAAAACCTGAGTAAGGACTGAACGCATTGCTCCTCCCATTTTTGTCAGATCTTCCAGAAATGAAATGTGGGGTTCCAACATCTGAAGAACTTTGTGAAGTTCTTTTTCTGATGGCAAATCAAGAACTGAAAGAAGCCAAGCAAGTAATTTGCAGGAAATTGAGTAAATGGTTCTAATTATTTAATAACTAGATTAACTGGATCTGGTTTGACTGGACTGGATACTATTTTGCCAAGCACAGCACCCCATTCCTGCAACCATAACTTTAAAGCAGTGTTGTCCAAACTTGGCCACTTTAAGATGAGTGGACTTCAACTCCCAGAATTCCCCAGCCCGCACGGCCGTGGCACCCCCAGCCGGCTGGGGG